TGTGACATTACTATCAAAATCTATTTTGTATATGTTTTATAACATTTTTTTAGTAATTTTCTTCAAAAATAGATATATATATATATATATCTATTCAATATTTTAATAATTATATTATATATTATATTATATATATGATATATTATATATAATATAATGTAATATATGATATAATTATATAATTGTTAAAATATTGAACAGATGATACAAGATGATGTTATATAAGGATAGTGTCGTTTTTAAGAGAAGAATTTAAAAGATTTTTAGAATTGTATATTTTTTTATAAAACTTCAATATAGTTTGAATGTGATCTTAAAATGACATTTTTCAGTCATATTTCAATGGCAATTAGTATCATTTTATTTAAAAAAAATTATTATAAATATTTGCATTAATTTTTCGGAAATAGACTCTATGAGTGACATAGCCCCTTAGTCTAATGTTAGAAATTTTTCTTAGATTGGGAGGTGTTGCTTAAATTAATTTTACTTAATTAAAAGGAACTGGATTGGATGGTATTAATATGCCATTAAAGATCCGTGATTTTACGGATCGTGAACGTGGAAAGGGCATTTGAAAAATTCGAGAAAAAATTAGAATCTATTGAATTTATTAAAACAATTTGAATTATTGAATTATTAGATCGTGTTTAAATTCTTGAATTACAAAATATTTTTACCTGTTGAACTATTAAAACAATTCGAATTATTGAATTATTAGAACATTTGAATTTTGTAATCTCGAATTAATAAAACCTCTAAATCTATTCAGTGATAACATAAACTTTCTTTAGTATACGAATTTTATTCTTGATCTGTTTAAAATAGAACTTTGTTAATAATGAATTTTATAATCAATTTTATTACTATATACTATAACTCCACAAATGGATTGGAGCTAATAATAATAGATATAATATATCAATAAAATTATATGTTGTACATTTAAATCATTATTTCTTCCATAGAATTTATAAATCTTCTAATACGCCAAATGTATCAAATCTGCTATATGTAAAATTTCTTAATCTGCTAATGACGTAAAGTATTAATCTCGTTTTGAAATTGCAAGTGAAATCATATCGACTTTGTAACAATGGAAGAAATATAACGCGATAACTAGTGACATGAAAAATTGCTTAGATAAATTAGCAGCAATAATAAAAAATTATATCATTTGAATTTATATAATAATTGTATCATATAAAATTCTATTTATTTGATATTCATATATTAGTTGCTTTTTATTCTATTATTTTGTAAGTTTAGCACTGGTAATAATTTTTTCTGTTCATGAATGACATTCAATGATAAAATACTTCAATACTTCAATATATAATTCAATATGATAAAATACTTATTAATAATTAAGAATCAGTATCAAACTTCTTTATGTGCTTTTCGATAAACAGTCGCAAAGAAATAATTTTTGTCAAGTCGTACTGATAAGAGAATTCTATTTTTTCTTTAAAAATAATTAATAAAAAAAAATAATTAATATCAAGAAATTAAAAATTAATATTTTTAATCAATTTCTAAAAATATAATTAGACTATAGTTCCATATAACATCACTAAGGAATCAGCATGACATTTAGAAGGAAAAAAATTCTAAATATAAATATAAAATTTTAATTTTGGAAATTTATTAGTTTACAAAATATTAATGAAACTTTTAATTATTCGATTTAATATTATTATTATTTCGACTATTATAAAATATATATTATATATATTATATACATATAATTATTATACATATAATATAATATTATTATATATATATATATATATATATATTATATAATATATTATAATATATTATACATA